AAGTAAATGTTTCAGATCTTGGGGAGTTGACGGTGGCGGATGGTTTTTAGAAGGATGAGGTTATCATAGAATTGATGGGGGAAAAAAGGTGGGGGTGCTTGGGATTGTGGAGTAAAAAAAGATACCTATGGAGGCAAAGAAGGGTGTTAAAAGTATAGTAGACCAACATTCATAGGGGTGTAAAGCTTGGGTGGTAAATGCGCGCGAGGAGACGGCTGGGGGCAGGGGAGATGCCTGTTAAGGGCAATGTGGGTGAAAAATATTATGCAGAAATTCAGAGTGGGGAAAATTTGGGAAAAGGTGTGGAGTTAATAAAAGTTTGTCGGGGCAGAAGGGGGGTTGTTGGGGTGGTTTGGTCATTTAAGAGAAGGGAAATCAAGTAGAATGACAGGAAAAGCTATAAATCTTAGGGGAAGGAAGGCAGGTAGGGGCGTCCCAAAAGGGTTGGAGAGGGGGGGTAAAGGATTTTTTGGGGGCAAGGGTTTTGGATTTCCAGCAAGCTTTTTTTCGTGGCTTTGTTAGATAGGAGTGAAGGGAGAGAAGTCTTGGGACCTGAGATCTGTTGGAGTGTGACGGGGAAAATATTTAGTGAAGGGATTCGGGGAAAACCCGGTTTTTTTCATATAGTCACTTGAGCCCTGGAAATGGGAAGTCAATGCCTGCACTTTAAAGGGGGGGTTTGGGTTTTGGCATTTTGGAGGGATATGTTGTGTATCTTTATTGTGTATGCTTCTAGACTTTGTTTCTGAGCCCTCGCAAAAACATGAAATGGGGAGTGTGGTGAAAGTGTTGAATGATGAGAAAGATTTTTTTTTTGGGGATTTTCTTTTTTTTTGGGTCACCCTGCCTCAGTGGGAGGGGGCCCGATTGTTGAAAAAAAAAAAAAAAAAAAAAATGTTAGCTGTGTTTTTTTATAAATTTTTGAAAAAAATCATAGAGGGAATAATGAAATGGTATTTAACGTAATAACGACATTTAAATGAGACCGATGATTATTTTTATATTACTAATTTTGACGTCTGGGACAAAGAGATCTTCTGATTTTAATGTGTACCGCACGCCGCACGTTGTAAGTTTATTTAATACAGGTATCATAAATACAGTGGCCCCCCCGCATACCGTTGGGGCATCACATAATGTTAAATTTCCGATACCGATACAATTTATTGCTAAGATTTTGCCTCGCATACCGCAAAAAAAACCCCGCTCAATGCATTCGTCCGAGACGGTTTTAATGTGCGGCCTGACCCGCCTACATGTTCCCCCGGGTGGCATTGTTTACCCCAGCCCCCGCGGTAACATCCAAGCATACAATGGGAAACTTTCGTTTTATTATGTTTTTTTGGGTTGTTTTATCTGCAAAAAAAGTGACCAGGGCCCCCCAAAGAAAGCTTCTATCCCAATCCTACAGGAAAAAGGGTGAGAAATTACTATAGGATGAAGAAAGGATCATTGCTAAGTATAAAAGTGGGTGCATGTCCCCGAGCTCCCCGGGGTTTGTATAGTAAACCCCAATCCCCCTCGCTACTTTTGTGTTAAAAAAAGGCAATCGGAAGCTTTTTTCCCAAAAGGTTTCAACTGTGTTTTCAAAACAAGATCGCAAGTGAGGGAAAGTGTTAGAGGACTCTTTTTTGGGTGGATAAATGAAAAACAGATAGCAGGGATAGCATCTCAATGATCAAAGTAAAAAGGCTGGGAAGTTGCATGGGGATTTAATTAAAAAATGCCTGCAACAGTGATGTGTGATTTGAAAAAAGGCCAGCAAAGGTTGGTTTGAGAGTTTTTAAAAGCTATGGCATACTAGTGGACAAGGCATGGTGAGGCTCCCAGTTGGGGCCACAAAGCAGCTGAAAATTATTGCAGGAATTCAAGGGACATAGACAGTGGGGGGACTGAAACTGAACAAGTGTTTAATTGTGATGAAAAAAGGGCCCGTTTTGGAAGAAAATGCCAAGCAGGACCTACATTTCTCAGGAGGAAAGGCACTCCCAGGACATAAGCCTATGAAAGACAGGCTTACTCTGTTGATGTGTTCCAATGCTAGTGGTGATTGCAAATGAAGCCTTTATTAATGTATCACTCTGAAAGTCCCAGAGCATTCAGGCAAAGAAGAATATCTCAGGCTCAAATTTGTGTGTGCTGTGGAGGGCTAACAGTATGGCATGGGCACTAGGGACTTTTTCTATTGATTGGTTACACAAGCGTTTGCCCCCAAGTGAAAGATACCTAATGAAAAGAAATTAGACCTTAAGTGCCTCCTGTGTTAGACAATGCCCCTGGTAATCTACAGACATGGCAGAGCAATTTTATGGGGACATGAGCTTCATTAAGGTGAATTTTTTGCCTCCTAATACCACTCCACTCTGCAGCCTTCATGGACCAGCAGGTTATTGCAAACTTCAAAAATGTACACAAAAGCTCTGTTTGAAAGGTGCTTTGTAGTGACCTCAGAAACTCAATTGACTCTAATGAGAGTTTTGGAGGAGATAACTTTAATATCCTCAATTGGTGTAAACCTTATAGGTAAGCTTGGAAGGGAGTGACTAAGAGGACCTTGAACTCTGCTTGGAAGAAACTGTGGACTGAATGTTTAGACCAAGGGATTTTGAAGGGTTTGAGGCTACCCTGGGAATCCTATGCCAGTTGAGGAATCCATTGTGGCATTGGGAAGTCTTGGGGTTGGAGGTTAGTGGGGACTGATTGTGGAAGTGTTTGGGGAGGAGGACCAATGAAGATCTAACACTGATGGGCGCTAGACCAAACTTCAACTGCAAGAGGTTTCAGACTGAGGAATTGGCTTTGGAGA